CCGCCGCACCCCGTTCGCCGACCCCTCTCCCCCGCCTGCCTAGTTGAGATGTTACCGCTCTGACAGCCCGACAGGCGAGCGCCGCCGACACCCCTGCCCCTCCGCAATTATTTTCCCTAACAATTAACGCCGGTACTAACTTGACACCTTTCCCTTGTTTGGCTTTTGTAAGCCATCATCCCTTTTTCTATTAATTCCCGGCATTAATATTTTCTTTCGCGCAAGTGCCGGCGTTCACCCGTGAAACAGTTTGAACATTATGTAGCTGTCAAGATAGCGAGGGATTACCCAGTGTGCCTTGCCGGAGTAAGTGACACCGCTGAGGCCCCGCTTTGAGATGTTTATTTTGAGAGTAAGCTGACAAGCATGAAGGCCTGATCCCAGAGTGGCAATCTTATTTAATTAAAGGCCTCTTTTTATTATAGCTTTTTCCCCTGCACTCTTTTTTATATATATTTTTAAAAATACTCCTTTTATATGTATAAATGTCTTGTATAAAAATATATAAACCATACAAATATATGTAAATATAAATGAAGTTATTCTCATATATATATAGGAATGATTGTTAAAGCCTGGCTCACATGAGCAGTGCTGGGCAGCCCTTCCCCCTCTTCCATTTCCCGTTACTATGGTTCTTCCCTTTACTATTGTTCTTTCAGAGCAACGATGCAATTGGGATGCTTACTTAGCTATAATTTTCTTGCTTCCCATCCTCAGAGAAAGGGCTTGGATTTTTATACTTGTAGACATTGAACTTGCTCACTGTTTGCTTTCTCTGTCTCCTCGTTCTTTGGGTTTTACCCTTGCTCGTGGGTTTTCTGTGCCAAAACCAGATGAGTTATGGCCATAGACCACCTGCCTCCATCGTCCTCTTCACGTTTTCATTTCATCAGTTGCTTTCCTCGTCTCGGCCAGTTGCTATTTTGTGCACAGAATAGGTCATGGACATCATTATTACTATTATTGTTAGGTTTTAATAATGCAGCTTGCTCCTGCTTATCCTGTAAATAAAAAGCCAGTTGTGCGGTGGTGGGCTTTGTTTGTTTGTTTTAAAAGGAGCTGGAAGAAAGTAACACCAAAGGGCTCAATACTCTTATTTCTTAACTTCTGCATCCTCTGAGGGCTACTGCCCGCATTGTGGGGCTATGACTTTTGTCCGTCATAAAGTGGAAAGTGTGCTGGTTTTAAGCTGTATATTTGATATAAGAGTATAGTCATAGTTCTGGGAAGTATTCTAGGGAAAGGTCCAGTCCTGACCCACTGAAAACCACGAGAAACTGCCCTCTGACTTCCCTGCCTTTGGACCAGGCCCTTATTATTGTCCTTTCTTAACGGTGAGGAAGAAGAAACTTCTTAATTTTGCAGCCTTTTTCAGGCAGCAATTACTATTTAGGGAAAGGGTCAGCTGCAGGTAGTATTTGAAAACCAACTAAGTTTATTTCTGTGAATGAAACACCCTTTACATGCAGAATTGGCCAGGGCTCTACAACTCTTCCCTTTGGAAATTTATAAAAAATTGTTGTTCTGTTTTATTCTTAAAAATAAGTCCATGTGTCCCAGGAGCACAGTTCTTTACAGTACTATGTAATTCCAAATAGATGCTAACACATAGCTATTTTTTTCTTGAGTCTAAGTCTGTCTTCACATAACACTGCTCAGAGCTTTGGATGTTTAAATATGGATTTCTTTCATATCTCACTGTTTCACCAAACTACGGACAAGCCTGAGTGTTGGTCTTACGCCGGGTTACCCTGTGCTGCTACGTGTTACTTGGCCAGTATCTCAGTGGGGACCGGAGGGCACAGACTCGGATTATTCCCGAATATGTGAAGTCTGGTGTAGCAGTGGGTCTTTCCCTGCCGGCAGCTGGGGGACGGCCAGGACTGTTGCGTTAGCTCTTATTCTTCTAATGAAATTAAACTGCTAGGAGGGAAGCTTAATTCTAAATATAAGGTATAATACAGACAACATTGCACGTGACAGATGAACGGCACCTGGGATCAGTTCATTGTATATGTTGCCACACCTCAGTTTTATTCTTTCCCTTATTTACAGCTTGTGAGTAGTTTTTTTTTTTTAATCTGTATGCATTACTAAATCAACCATCTAGTTAATCCTTTGTGTACCTTGTTCCCCTTTTGTTTGGTGTCCTGCACAGCAGTTGGTGTTAGTGCAGATGCCACTGGTTTAATAACAATAATAAAAAGTTGATTCCCTCTTCTCTTTTCCTTTGACAGCTGCAAGTCTTTCTATTGATGCCGAGTGGCACGAGCCTCACGCTCTGTCCATGGACATCTGCTCCATAAAAAAACGGGACATTATTGCCATGGCAAAATATGCCACTTGGATTAAAAAACTTGTTACCTGAATATTGTTTGTTTGTCTTTACAGACTTTACTCTGCGCGAGGTTTTTATCCTGAGCTGGTAAATAATGTCAGTATTGTTTCACTGAAACTTCAAATTTGATTTTAAGTAAATTGGCAAGTGACACCAGTGGTGAAAACCTGATGGGTATTTTAGCTATTTTTACTGGTTTCCTTGGAGCTCCTACCAAGTTACGATGCTTTTGAGTTTTGGTCTTTTTGTATATTCATAGTCACAAGATCGCATTTTCTGTCTTCCACTGTCGGTGTTGTTAGTTGGCCTGTAAATTGTCCTTCATCCCTGCCTTTGTTTGCTCTTTTCCCAAATTAAAGTGTTAACTAAATTACTAAAGAATAATTAACATTTTTTTAAGAATAACACAGTAGAAATCAAGCGAACTATGAAGAATTTTTATTGCCTGGTTTCAGACAACTTTCTGGTTCTGTTCAATAGATTCCTGTGTAAATTAGCAATGTATATATAAAATTAGTCATTACCGTTTATTGTTTTACAAAAATATAATCTGAGTGTGGGGTTATGTTTGGTTTATTAATTTTTTATTTATTAATTCTATTTGGTTTCTTAATTATCACAGGTACAAGTGACCCATACGTGAAGTTTAAACTAAATGGGAAAACTCTATACAAAAGTAAGGTAGTCTACAAGAACCTCAACCCAGTTTGGGATGAGACTGTTGTACTGCCCGTACAGACCCTCGATCAAAAACTCTGGATCAAGGTAAGTTTTGGTTTTAGATTTTTGAAAAGTAGGTAAATATTTTTTTAAGCAATTATTTTCAACTTTCAAAACTGACCGATTTTTATTCACTGCAGCAGCATAACACAAAGCATGACCTGGATTAAGAGATTCAGCAACGTCAAATGAAAATGCACATATGTCTTTTCCAGATTTTACTCACATGTTTTGCTTTCTGTCTGCAAAAAACCCAAGCTGAAATGAAACTCCTTGACTGCATATGTTTAAAACTATGGAGCTAAATTCTGCTTGCTCTTACCGTGCTCGTGCAAACTTGGGGAAGCCAAAAGCGGTTTCATAAGCACGTTTTAAGAGTGTAATTTGGCTGGGTTGAACAGAATTATGACCTGGGATGCAGCCGTGACAAGTAGCAAAGCCTTTTCTCATTATGAGTAACGTTACAGTTACCAGAACTGCAAGCCACCAGTTGCGAGCACTAATTGCTAAAACATCTGTAACCAGAAGTACCTGATTTTTGTGCGGCGTTTCATTATGCTATTGCGCAGAGCATAACGGAACAGGCACAATCCATAGCAGCGCACGCGTCTCTGTTTACATAATATTAAGAAGATACTTTAAAAATGCTGTTTAAATATTTAGTTAAAAATACAAACTAAAGTGGGCAGATGGAAAATTATCCCTGAATTATATCTAAGCTTTGATCTTTCAAACACGAAATTGAACTGCTTAAAATAGCTGTTCTTTTACTGGTCGGGATAAAGCTGGCTTATGATGTGAAAATTAGAAATATTTATTTTATTTTGCTACCAGGTGTACGATCGGGATTTAACCTCTTCAGACTTCATGGGTTCGGCATTTGTAGCACTCGCTGAACTTGAACTCAATAGGTAATACGTTTGTTTAATTAAAGGCTATTAATGTGGCTTAATTGAGAAACATAGGAAAACAATGAAATGCTTTTGCTCTAGCTTGGAATCTGTCGATTCATGAAAACTTATTTTGATAGGAGGGTGGGGAGCACGTGTTTAAAAACCTGCTTGAGACAAATCCTGTGTATGCCTGGTTTTATCTGCCGTTACGTCCTGGATTCAAACCCACCCTGGAGGGACCCCAGTGGAGCAGAAGGCACCCTTTCCCCTTCACGTCTAGGAGTAGGAATAAGGAAAAGAGTTTCTGCACGCGGCATTGTTTAGGAAGAGCTACACCAGAACAATTTATGGAGGGGGGAGAAGGTTGAGCCCCCTTCTCAGCCCTGCGGAGCGCCGGGTGCCTTCGCTGCGTGCCACGGGGCTGGGGAGCGGGTGCCCGGCTGGCTGAGCGCGCCCCGTTTCCAGCCTCCCCCCGCAGCCGTCCGTCCCCGCGGCAGCTCATCTGGCCCTGATTTAGTGCGGAGGCAAGCCCTGCGCCTTTTGTCTGCTGCTGCTTGGTCTCAATGTGGAGCTGGAAGCCAGGAATTCAAATTTTACTTCTCTTTTATACTCCCTTGCTGTGTGACTTTTTTTTTTTTTTGAGAAAATTAATTTTCCCTGTATATTTTAAATCCTGCGTATATTATAGCTCCCGTGGCTCTTGTATCTGAATTTCTAGGATTGTTAATGAATTTATCCATGAGATAGTGCCACCAATACCAGCATTCCCGTTTTCAGAGAGGGAACTGGGTCACAGAGGGAGATTAAATGCAGGTGGAGGCAAGGCAGAATACGGACCTTGAGTCGAATCCCAGCCATTAATGTTAGAAAATTCACTTGGGTGAGTTTCTCTGTCACTCTCCTTCCCTGTGAAGTGGAGGTAGTAGTAACTTAATTCAGCATGTATCTGCATATAGAGAGTTAGAAGTATTAAGTAGTGCTGTATAGACGCTATGCTGCATTATTAAAAGGATAGTGTGTTTTGTCAGAACTAAGGAGGAACCCTCCAGATTTCCCATTTTAACATTTAAACTCAATATTGGGAATTTCAGAGAAGCTGGAATTTGCACAGCTCAGCGTGACCTTTAATAACAAACGCGCGTTAACTGGACTCAATCAATGTGCATCTTTTTTTGCTTGTAGAACTACTGAACAGGTTTTAAAACTGGAAGATCCCAACAGTTTAGAAGATGACATGGGAGTGATTGTATTAAACTTGAGTCTGGCAGTCAAGCAAGGAGACTTCAAGAGAAATGTAAGTGGCTTGGGAAACCAAATTTATAGCTGCCATGTGCAGGGCAGGGAAAAAGAGCTGGCCTAATCTGATTTACTTGGAAATGCCACCTTTATTTTCATCCTCCGAGGCTCAATATTGAAATGAAGATAGATCATAACTTTAAAAATAGCCACCTATTTAACGGGGTAAAAGTTGCTTCGACGTCTGTAACCGGAGGGTTCTGTCTTGTAGCTGTGATGCGCACTCCATCAGGGGTGTGGTATCCGTCACTGCAACGTGCAGGTTGCTGAAATGAATGTATGAACCGTACATGCTGTGATCTGCTATTCCAGAGCATACTATTTTCTGATTTCCACCTAGGCGTTTAACACTTTAAAAAAAAAAAAGTTATTCTTTTTTCGTTTCTTTCTTCCCCCCTCCCCCCCGCCCTGTAACAATGAAAAAATATATCCATGTGAAATCTAGAAGTAAAGATTTGATGTTAAGACTTAAACTGCACCAATCCTGCAGAGGAGAACAGTGGCTGAGAGGAAGAGGTTGCTTGTAAAACCCCTGGTTTTGGCACTGATGTTTTCTTGACTGAATTCAAACTTGGCTCTGATGCTGAAATACGGTGCATTTAGTGATGCCAGACACCCAGAAGAACCTGGGCAGAGACAGGGAACACCATAACTGAAGCTGATTGCTTTTAAATTTCAGGTGCTGCACATGTGGTTTTTTTTGCTTTTGTTTTCATCTTTTAAAATTCCTACTAGTGTTTTACCCAGTGTTGAGCATACTTGTGTTGGTGAACTCATCCCGCTTCTGGCCAGCAAGGGATGGGGAAAAGCCAAGATCGGACATTTACTTGGATTGGCTTGAAAACCAGAGCTAATTTTAAATACATGTAATACATATGTAAAGAGAAAATATTCCTACAAGTCTTCTATATAGTCTAGTATGAAAGTTGCTGTTTACTGCACATTATTGAATTATAGGTACGGAATTCCAGTCTGAATGGGACTATTTATAGAAACATAAATGTTTCAAGGGGTTGGAAAGCAAAATAAGAAAAAGTTAGTGTCGGCCGTCTGCTGTTCATTATTTTTCAAATAGTTGCCTTTTTGAGAATTGTAAAGTCTCAATATTAATTGTAGATTATTTAAAAGCTTAATGACAACATTCAAAACACCGTTGTTGTATTTCTGTTATGAGGTGGCTTTGATCTGGGATGTGAATTCCCCCTCTAACTTGTACAAGAGAGTGTTGTTGGCACACATGTCGCTGGATTGCAGGAAGGGGTGAAGCGAAGACATCAAGTTACTTGAGCAAAAAAACAGTTTAGCCGAAAGAACCTCAGGAATTTTTCTGGGATTTTTAGGAAGGCATGGGCTAAAATGGACCTAGCCAGTGAGACAGAAAATACATTGGTTTAATGTAGCGGCTTTTGGTACTCTTGGGTGCGTAGGTAACGTTCAGAGTGCAGATGATAGAAGAGTTGGTGCACACTGTAATTTTTTTTAAAGACGATGTTTTTAAGCCCTCATATTTCAAATGCAAATTGCTCAGCCATTTCCAGTGGAATCAGAACAAGGAAATGGCTCTGTCCACATTAGCACTTAACAGCAAGATGATTTTTTTTTTTCTTTTTAAATTAGCTTACTGTAGGACCAGACGGCACCAAAAGTATAAGCCATGTTTCTTACTAATGGCTCTGGGTCCCTCTACTTTTTATTTTTCATTACTTTTTAAATTTCTTCTCTTTTTTTGGTGCAATGCAGGTATTTTGAGTTTGATTGTTACGTTCCATGAGACAGGGGAGGTAGATTAATGCAGTCCTAGATCCAGCCCCCTGTTTAGTAATAAGCTTTTCTAAAACATTTGACAAACTGGTGTTTGAATTATTTTACTAAACACTTCTTCCATTTTACTCTTCTGTTTCTTCTCTGGGTTCTCCTCGGTATGATGGTGGGGACCCATGAATAGAGGTGGTCAAGTCGGAAGAAACGAACTTCATCTAAGGTAATCCATATTTATTCTCTTAAAAAAGACCCCTCCCAAAATCTGTGCCCTCCTCTGAAACACAAAGGGTAAACATAAGAAAACTCTGAAGGTGCAACTTATCTTAAGACGGTGGCTGTGATACCCTTTGCTTTTTATTTTCAGTGTGATGAGAAATTGCTGTTTTCCTATTGTTGGTGCTACGGTAGTGTCTAGTGGCAAGCGAAAGTAGGACTCCATTCAGCAAAGGGTTGTAGCAAGGGAGAAAAACTGCCTGTACTTGGGGAAATGGGTGTGTATTCAAGAAAAAAAGGAGCTATGGAGGATCAGAGTTGCTTGAGGATACCCAAAAGGTGGCTGGTAGCTGACACTGGAGTTGAACACGGGTCTCCTAGATCCCAGTGTAATCGTTTGGGTCGCCTCTTGCCCCAGGAGGCATTTTGTGAGGCTGTATTTCTTCTGGTCACTCCTGGGGGTTTTGAAATTCCTTTTGTTCTTGGGATGGAGATTGAGCAGGCAGTTTTCATTTCCAGCAATGTAACAGGATTTCCAAGAGTTGTGTATTGCTACATATCTACATAACTCGCTTTCCTTGGTTTTCTGTAGTATCCCTATAGGCTTCCACTACTTCTGTATTCCTCTGCTGTCCCATTCTTGCCGTAGATTTTAACTTGTTCAGGAAACAGACTGTGGCTTTTTATTTGTTCTGTAAAGCTTTAATTTGCTATTGAGTAAATAACAATGATATAGAAACTGCAGGGCCCAGTACCCAGCTTGAGAGCTATATAGCCTAACTTTCTGAAAAGCACAATTTGGCTTTTATGAGAACACATATGCATCTTGATATTTTCCCTATATAACTATTGGTTTATGCCTAAATAAATTGAATGATTAAGCTCCTCTTGTCCTATTTATTACAACTGTAGTGTGCAATGTAGAGGAGCCAACCCTCTCGGGTATTGTGCCAGCAAGTATACTTTGTCAATAGAAGAAGTGCAAAGTACGGTCCTTGGAGCCGGACGGCAGCTCGGCGAGCCCCGGTGCCAGGGATAAGGCAGCCCTTCCCGCGGCGCTCGGCACGGAGAGCCGCCAGGCATCCCTGAATGCCGTATGACAAAGTGATGGAATAATTGAAGAGCTCAGCACTTCAGTTTTTAACTAAAGCTCTGGAAATTACTGTGCCCTCACTCAATCAGCGTAGCTTGATCCCCCTTTCTCTCACGCGTGCACACACAGCTGTCTCTTGATTCTGGTTGGCTTTAGGTCCTGGGAAAGGGAGCCAGGTTTTTAAACTCCGGTCCTCTTTGTCCAGAATAGCCAAACTTCTGTCTTGGTTGCTGTCACTGGAATTTTTTTTGTTGTTGTACCCTATATACAGCATTTTGAATATTTTTTTTTTTTTTTACACACGGGTTTTTTGGACCTTCAGCTGTAAGCCATACTGTCAGGTCATTCAGTTCTCAAGACTCTGGCTTGTGCCTTAGCAGCTTTTTAAATAAAGTTAAGAGATGCTGAAGCATGGTACTGAGTTAGGAGAAGTGAAAGTATTGTTTAAAAGAGAAGGGGGGGGAAAAAAAAAAGAGTTGCAACCCTGTGCTCTATTCTGTTCCAGTCACTAGAGGGTAGGAGAGCTTCAGTTCTTCCTAGGGAAGACACAGTTCATGCTCCAGTGTGATCTCTAAAGAAAAGCTCTGTGACCATCCAAAGGCAGTAAAAATATTTCCCGGCGTGCACCGGAAAAATCTGACAAAGCAGTATTTCCTAGTTTATTGATTCTGCTACTGCACTAAAACACTAGTACTGTACATCAATAACCATCTTTAGTTAGGAAGCTCTGGTCTGTGGAAGCAGTACTAGCAGTTTGTGGCAGAACATAAAGGCTAGAAAGAAAAATTGTGTGCATGGGGAATATAGGCGTCTAGGGAAGGCGCAAGAGGTTATGGAAGAATAGCCAGAGAGTATGATGGGGTAGAAAACAATGTTGCTGGCTGAGATAAAGATACAGGAATAAGGGGGCAGGGGAAATGGAGAGAGTTCTGTAACAGATACACACAGTTGTCTCTTTCTGGCTACTGAGCTGGCTCTGGCTGGTTGTCGCAGGAGAAAAAGGCAGTATACTTTCCATTTGAGCAGCTGAACTGAGACAGACCTAAATTTCATCTCTATAGGTTTAGGCAAATAAAAGTTTTCTATTTGAAATCATTTTCCTGTTTTGGGGTTTTTTTTGTGCTGAATTGTAGCTCACCTATATTGTAATATTTATCCTTTCTTCTACAAATACAGGGGAAATTACTGAAGTTCATTTTGTCCATCCTTAAAATAACTTTCACAGGGTTTTCTAAGCTGTATTGCCTATATGAAAGAAATCTGGTTGGACTCTAATTTGACCATTTTATGTTATCTTAGTGAGGATTTGGCACATCAGCATCCCAAATGAGTCTTGTCATATCAGTCCATGGGATTCTTGCTGGCTTCCCAAATTCACCCCAAATGGTTAGTCACCCCTGTTTGATGGCATTAATACCTGATGCAACCCCGTGTCAGACTGGCGGAGGGGTGGGCGTGCGTAGCTGTGGATACCGAGCCCTCTTCATGTGTGTCCTCTGGGCTCCCTTGCTTTTTGAAGAAAAAGCTACGTTTCAGACAACAACGGAAACAGCAGTACAAGATCTCCAGTCTAGCTACGGTTGTTTCACAGTCATTACAGATAGTATGCAGGAAGGATTTCAGCGACTGGATATTGTCTTTTAAATCATCTTGCTGCAAGAGCTGTTGAACTGGATGATTTAGCTATCTGTTGATTACACAGTATATATTTTTCACTGCTGCTAGAAGGGAGTCATCGCACATTTGGGCGGACTCCCAAGACATGGGCAGCACATCCAGATCCCTCATTTTTTATGGGAGCTGAGAACAGCATTGTCCTCTGTGGGAGCTGTCTCCAAGACTGCAGCTTTCTTCATTTTCTCATGGAGGGTGGCATCGCAAAGGGAAGAGGATACTATTAGGCAGTATTAACATATGGACTCATATCTGTATATTGGCAAGCTCTCCCCTCTCTTCTGTTTTTGGGGCTATCTGGGGCACAGAAGGAGTTGGTAGCTACCTCTGCTGGAGCCCAAACATGCTGATGCTCAGTAGGCTTGTTTGTCCCGGGTGGCTTGAGTCTCACCCTGAGTGCCCCATGTGCTATTTCCAGCATTTGTACGGCTGAATAACCTTTAAGTGTTGAACTACCACGAAGCAAATAAGCAGGTTTGCTTGGGGTGGATTGACCCGCAGCAGTTCAGTCCTGAACCAAAAGCGACGCAATTGCCACCTTGATAGCCTAAGCTGATTGAATAAATTGGCTGAAAGACTGACCGGACCCAAGTGCTCCTTGGTTTCTCATTGCAGGGGAAAATCCCTCGCGCTCCTTTCTTTTTTTTTTTTTTTCTGCGTGGGCTGTTAGCTTTTATTTTTGCCTGCCTCATTGTATTTGGCTTTCTCCCACAATACCCCGTGGGCAGCGGCGCTCTCCGAGCGTTTCGCAGAGCGGAGGGACTCACTGGCCATGGGGTCACACGTCGTGGTGGCAATCTCATGTCGGTTCACTTGCCTTTCTCGCTGCCCTCCTCTCTTTCCCAAGGGGAAACTGCCTCTGCAAAATGGTTTCCCTGCCTAATGAGGAGAGGTCCAAAGAGTCTTCCTATTTGCGTGTTGTTGTTTTCTCAAATGGCAAATTACGTGGCCCAGTTTCAACGTTGACCTCTTCACAGCAAGCTTTCTGTTGTCCTGTCTCATCCTTTTAAATGAAAGATGTGAGAGATGGGTTTGCTTCACACTTGGCCACCTCACCGTGTCATTTAAATGTACAATTTTTCTGCATCTCTTTATTGCTTCAAAAACAAGTTTGAACTTGGGGCATGTATGTGTGTGTCAGGAAGGGAGACAGATTTGAAAGCAGTCCTGATGTACCAGAGGGGGTTCGTTGAGTGCCTATAGCGGGAGATTATATACAAATGGTGTTAGCAGGGAGACTTGAGCTCCTAGAGGATTTTGTGAAGCTGGGTCAATGAGCCGGTTCTTTCCCCTCCAAAGCTCTGTCATTCTTGCTCATCTCCTGTATTGGCCTCTGTGAAGGCAGAATATGACCCACCTGCTCATTCTTGTCCAGCTTACTTCTTTAAACCAGAACCAGGAAGTAACAACAAATTGCAAGTTGCTGTGAGAAGCTTTTATATCCGTTTTGAAACCAGAATCTAGATTCTGAAAATGGTATTGTAAGCACTGTTTCTTTTTCTGTTCAGAGATGTGAGATGTTTTCTGGGCAAACATTCTAAGCAGTAGGGAGAAGAACCGTCTTCTGTTCCTCACGTGGTAGGGTCCTGCTTTACGACCAGGCCATACTTTTGCTTCAGAAAAGATTACTCATTACTTATCTGATGTTGCACAGTCCCTAAATCTGCAGTAAACATGGGCCCTTAGACTTTAAAAATGGCTAGTTTATTTTTAAGAGTAAAGCTTTCTGGATATTCTTGTACTTATTGTTTTCTTTGTCTGGCTTGTTTGAGGGATGCTTTTTGTTCAAGTTGTTATCCATTTCACAGCAGTGTACTGCTCATAAAGGTGACCTCTATGGTATCACTGGTTATTTGCCCACAGAGCTCAGCCAAAATCAGAGCTCTGTCTGGAGACAACACCTCAAATCCTGGTCTCAAGACTATCTTGATTTCAGAAGTGATGAAGGGAACTGGGAGTGGGATAAGCGAACTTGTCCAATGTCTTCTCCTTGGGATATGTGCCAACTTCCATCGTAAAGCATGTGTTTCCTAATTTCCAGCTCTGTAGCCTGATCCTAGCTTCAGCCAGCTTTTCTGTACCTCTGGAAGGCACTTTTACTTTGGTCTGGGACGTAGCCAGAGTGCGAGCTGGCTGGCTGTGGAGCGTTTACAGGAAAATATAGCAGGAGAGGCCTGAAGGACCTGGCATCCAGTCTGGGAGAACAGCTGGAAAGAGCTCAGTTTCAGCAGCAGGAGGAGCTGAAGTACCCGAGTGCGGAGCTGTCTGTAGCCTGGGAGGTAACAGGGAAAGGGAAAAGCTGGAAAAATAAAACCACTTCAGAATTGTCACTTATTAAGCAGTTATGTCCTCCTTTGCTGGCCAGTGTAGAGAGGGGCTTTGACTTTTTTCGTGTCTCATTGTGAAGGCAGGTTAGTGTAGTGTTCGGGGTGGTTTCTTTTCAGTGCTTGTTTTGCCCCTCAGTAACTGGACTAATCACTGCACTCCTCTGTTCTCTGCTCCGTTAAAGTTTTGCCAGCTCAGAGGCAAGCTGTGAAGTTTAATCAATTAACTCTGTGTAAATCAGTTTGAAAGGAGTAGGTGCAGAGTATCAGAGAGGAGGTAAGACTTTTTAAATAAATAACGTGATAGCATGTTCTTGTCACCTGGGAGGCATTTTCCATAGTGCAGACTTCCCCAGGCAATACTAAAGTTGACTCATTGATGGTCCAGGTCTGTGGGTCTACCAACATCTGGGTTTCCCCAGACGTGCTTCCTTCCAGAAACTGTGAGTGGAACCTGAGACGCTGCCTGTTTGGCTGGGATTTCCATCAGGGTGGTCAGAGGAACAACCTGCCAAATACCCAGGGAGGCTGGAGAGGTGGCCACAAAGCGTGCGTAGAGTGGTTCTTTGGGGTGTGTGTGTGTAGATAATATGAGGCACAGGAGACATGCCAGACCTGCTGAGCACACGCTGTGCAAATGACCTGAGCACGTCCAGGAAAACCAAAGCATTCCTAACATGATGGGTTGTCTTGCAGGGGTGCAAGGCAAGCAGCTGTCCTGGGCTCCGTGCTGGAGAGGCTTGTGGTGGTGGCAGAGCTGGGTTGGGGCAGCTAGGAAGCAGTCTGCAGTCATCAAGTCTGTGTTGAGGTCCTGAAGCTCAGCACTGTGCCCTAAACCAGAAGCAAACATCTTGGCTTCTCTATCCAGTGTGGTGCTAGACCTTCTCCAGAAAGTAGCCGGTCATGTTAGCAGGAGACCGTCATAACCCTCTTCTGAGATGAGCACAGAGCGCTTTTGCAGCTGCGCAGCCATCCAGAAAGGGGGGGCACAAGGTCAGTTGCTGGGGGCCACCTGTTTTGGAAGGTCGGAGTTGATGCATTGCAATGTGTTCTAGTAATACTGAGCTGCAGGCACTGATTTTTTCCTGGGACCGTGTGGAATCCAGGCTGGTTTGGGTACCTCCCAACACTCCTTTGAACTGTCAAGTCGGTGGCTAAAAGGGTGGGGTTATGTATGCTACAGAATTTGGATAGGAAGGCCCCCAATGCTGAGCGGCTCCCTGAAATACTGCCCTGGTTAAAAAATGAAAAGAATCCAAATTTGATTTGAAAACTGAGTGATAACAACTGTCTTTCGTGTTCAGCCTGGAAGCTTTGAAGAGAACTGGATATTTTGTTTTTAGAAGAAATTGTAATGTGGGTAATAAACTTTGTCTGTGTGGGTTTTTTTTGTGAACTAACATCAAATACCTCTTCCTCCTCTGAGGAAGGAGTCGGGGGGAGGGAAAAATCCTTGGTCCTAAAACAGCAAGTACATCACATCAAACATGACTACGTTAAATACTAAAATGTTCAAAGTACAACTGAGATAGATAAAGGCTTTGATGGGAAGTGGATATTTCCCAGGGACATTACAAGCAATAATCCAGATGTTATGGTGTAATGCAACGAGTGTCCATGGATAGATGGGGAGCTCAAGCCAAGCAGCGCCTGCTGTAGGCCTTAGCCCTCCACTCCCATGCTGTTACGCCATATGGAAGCAATCTCCAGGCCCCTTTAATAGCCAGCTTTGGATTCCATTTTCACAGGGCTCATAGAGCTAAGTGGAGCTGTTTTATGGACAAGTTAGATAGAAGCCTTTCCAAGATAAACATCCAATTCGAAATTAGGACATACCAAGCTGCAAAATTATTTTAGGGCATATTTCATGGAAGCACTGCCATTTTTCTAAGGCGATTGCCAGACTGTAGAATGCCCTTTGATCCCTTGTGGACATTACTCCCTTTTTTATAAAAAGGATTTTGAAATAGTTCAGTGTTTAGGGAGGAATATATCTGCCGGGACTTTGAAGTATGTCCATGGGAACAGTCGTGCTTTAGCTTTTTTGGCCTAAAAGACGAACTTTAAAAAAAAAAAAAAAGAAAAGAAATTACATTGCAGCTGGATTTATGAATCAAAATCTCGTTTTCTTTTTAAAGGTAGGAATTTTTAATCAGTGTGCCAGGAAAGCCAAACGGGGTGTTTAAATAGAAGTATATTAATATGCTTGTGGGAGTCAAATAGTTGGGTATTTTAACCAGTAAAAAGCGAGTAAAAAAATTTGTGAGTTCACCACCCATGATTTAAGAATTTTGTTGCTGGGTAATTGATCCATAAAAAGTAATCTTCAGACATCAGGTGCTTTTGCAATCGTTTTATTTAGCAACAACATTTCTAACTTGCTTTTAAAGCTAACACGTCCTGTTTTAAAGTGACTTGTGAAATCTTCTCCTCCGTCTTGCTCCCACCTGTATATGACATGATTGAAGCTCTGAAATGTGGCGAGTTAAAAGTTGCTTCACAAGAATAAAATATGGCAGGATTTTTACTGCAAGAAGAAAAGTATAGCCTTGAGTTTTAATGTTTCCAGCTCACTCCCCCCAAATAAAGGCCTATTTAATCATCCTCTGTCCAATAAAATATTGCCCGTTAGCAAACTGTTAGCGTAGCCGTGCTATGTAGGATGAAGCTGCGAAGGTAACAAATGTGGCTGCTGGGTAACCATAACTCCAGGTAAAGAGCCCGGTGGTGTCAGTGTTTTTTCAGCAGGCATCAGTATTTTTGATTCGTGGGCTCGCTTTCTGGAAGCAGGAGCTGCAAAGGCAGCAGGCAAAGAGCTAACGCGGATGACATGTGGTTGAGTGATTGAGGACGTGGAAGATGCGTGCTCAGCCTTTCACCTGGCCGTAGACTTTATGATTGCGGGCTGTCTCCCTGGAAAGGACAGACACACGTTTTTATGGACGTAGCTGGAGACACATTTTTATGGATGTAGCTGGAGACGTTTAAGAGTTTACTTCAGTTTCTCCCCGCTTCCACCTCTCCTCCGTGTCACTCGCCTGTGCCTGTCCCTGAGCCAAGGTAACAGATTGCTCTCAACGCTCAAGGTCTGCTCTCTCCGAAGCTCAGCCAGGTTAGCTGAAGTTGACTTGTCTGGTGGTTTAAGCTAGCCCTGCTGGTTTTACTCTGGTTCTGACCGCCGCCCCTTCACGGGGCCAGCCATGGCACAGCACGGGCAGCATAGCATCCTGCTGCCCTCCGTTCCCTGCTTCTTCCTAGGGCATCGTGGTACCTCTCTCGCTTCTGCTGCTTTCACATCTCAGTCAGTTTGAGCGCAAAAACAGGGGTTTGGGTGTATAAAAGTCTCATGTCGTTGACTTACTTTTCAGTCGAGCTTCATGCGGAGCATGCGACTCTCCGACTCTTTGCGCAAGAACCAGTTGTGGAACGGGCTGGTCACCATCACGCTCCTGGAGGGGAAAAACATGCCCGGAGGGGGCTTGGCAGAGATTTTTATTCTCCTCAAACTGGGAGATCAAAGATACAAGAGTAAGGTAAGTATTAAGGATTTCCTAAAGTTTGCTGAAGCCAATAAGGTACTCGGTGTTTCTTTTATCGGTGTTGCTACCTCAGATGGAACTACTCTTGAATCTCTTTTATGTAAGCGAGATCAAAACCAGAAGACCAGATCAGGACATTAACATTTTACTAATGTTTTACGTGCCAATATAGAAATAGGAAGTTAGGAATATTGTGGGTATCTGTTTCTGTGCTTTTAACACACTAATCATCATGATGGATATTTGAAATGAAATAGCTACATGCATCACACATCTGTTTTGTTCTCTGCCAACACAGAAGTTAAGTTTGTGATGTTAGGTATACTGGAAAAGCAGACCTGAAATGGTTCCCAGTGCAGGGGAATTTTTTTATATTTATTTTTTAAAGCACCCTTCTTAAACAATGTTACCTATAGCAGGAAAAACAAAAAACAAAAGCAGAACACACAGACTATTCCATGGTTTTGATTTGAATTTTTATTCTTTTAGGCTGTGTTTACTTGTATTCAGTACTGTTTCATGGGGATCTAAGAAACAAATGGGGTTCCCAAATGTATACATTTAATCTCCAAAGTCTAATAAGGAGAGGGGCTATAATTAAAATAATATTCTGTTGAGAAAGCAAGAGCTTTGCATGTCATGAACGGGAAGCGCAGAGGGAGGAGGAGGAAACAAACCAAACCACCTCCTGTACAAAATGTACAGAGCAAGTTCAGAGGACATAACATTCGGATGTCAGGCGCATCTGAGACCTGCACTCTGTCCCCTACATCAGACCTCAAACCAAGGTCACGATATGTTTTTATTTAGAAATGCAGCTTTGAAAAATAACAAATGGGTTAGTTATTTTAGAATAAATATACCGTATTTGAGTTAAGATCTCTTTTTATGTTTAATAGTCTATAGCCCATGTCATGAGTCTGCAAGACTGCACTGTTTGCAGTCACAGAAAATGAAAAAGTTTAAAATGTGGAGTAAAGTAGTGTTGCCTGATACCAGTTAATTGCTTAGTATTTCTGTCTGGGGTCCAGCAGAAGTTGGGGATCGCTGCTTTTACACCCTCATAAGACTTCAAATTGGTAGCACTTCGTGTTCTTTCCAAGAGTTCATTCAACTTATGAAGTACTATCTCTCATGATGCAGGAAAGCAGACAATGTGGGAGAAGTCTCAGTCATGGTCCAGCTAATCCTGTCTCCTGTTCTATCATGGCCATGCTGATACTGATGGTGTTTCCAGTCCCAATCCAGTGAATGGTCAGAGCAACCTGAACACTTGAACAATCTCACTGAACTCAGAGGGACAAGTTACAGATATCAAATTAACCGATGTTAATAACTTTAAGGCTGCTCCTTCTTTGTCTATATCAATGCAGGAAGGGTGAAAAATACTGGTTTGGGTCCCTGAATTAATTCAAGCCTGTTTTGAGGTGATTGTCCTCAATAGGTTTATTATCGATTTCTTCCAGTGTGAGTGACCACAGTCCACTGAAAGTGGAGCTGGTGGATCCACCTTGCATTTCAGAATTTCTCGAGCCATTGATTCACATCACACTTCCATGTTTATCGTTACTGGGAGAAAAGAAAGAGAGTTTTTAAGGAAGATGAGGTTGTGCGTGATGGGATGGGGAGCTTTGGTTGGAATGACCTTAGTACTTGATGCCCTAACATCTGGCCTTCTTATTGTAGAAGAATTGATATGTGCTTTACTGTGGAAATAAGTACTATTTAAGAAAAGTAAATATTATAACTGCATGTTTTCTAGACACTGTGTAAGAGTGCAAATCCTCAGTGGAGGGAACAGTTTGATTTTCACTACTTCTCTGACAGGAAGGATATGTTGGACATCGAGGTCTGGAGAAAGGATAACAAAAAGCATGAGGAGCTTTTGGGAACGTAAGTTGGGGGTTTTTTTGGGGGTGCGACAAGTACAAAAGCTACTGTGATTTTTGTTACTATTTTTCAAATTGATCCATTTATTTTCATTACCAGCATCATATTGTATGTTAGTCTCCTTACTCCAGTCCTGTCCAGATGCCTCTGTAAGGGTATGTTTATTAAAACCTATTACTGGGTGATTGATTAACCATGACCTGACTGCAGAGACACCCAAGCTGACTCTGCACATGCTGACTGTAAAATCCAAAACACTGCGGGAGCTCAGTGGCGGCTGTTTCTGGGAGGGCCGGTGGCAGCAGGGAGGCAGCATTTGTCTGTATTTGCACGGGGATTTTGTTCCAGATCCCTTGTGCTCCGCAGGGCTGATCTGATGCTTCAGGCTGGTGGCCTCTCCAGGATCTTTGTGCTCTGTCTGAGTGGCACTGGTGCCCCTTTTCTCTCTTAGCACCTTAGTGCTGTACTTTTGCAGCCCTGTTTACATGCGGGTCCTGTTATCCGAGTTCGCTTTATTTGGGTAATCTCTTCCCCATTGCCACAAAGAACTGATCTCTGTGGGTTTGGTGCCCCGTGCTGTTGCACAAGCTCATGTTGTTTAAATCTTCATTTTCAGGGCAGCCTCACAGGTGATTTTCCCCTCTCCTGCCCAATACTGGGTTTTGTCCCACTGCATTATTCCATTATAGCTTCAAATTCTCAAGTAATGATCTTATGCCATGGTAGCTGATGACACTTCTTGTGGGGATAGCAGTCAACCTTTTATTTTAATATTTTAATGGGAATAGAATATGGTTCCTACTCTCACGTCCTGCTCTTTGCTTTCCTCTCTAACTCCAGCTTACTTTGTACAGTATTAGTACAGTCTTAGTTTCCTCGTAGTAACTGTATCTTCTTCCTTCTTTTTGGCTTGCAGCATTGTCATCTAGACCCATCTCCCCAAAATGCATTTGCACAGTTGGATACATGCAGCAGCATCAAGAACCGTTTAACTTACCGGAGTCCCTCTTGGGTGTGTCCGTGCTTATCTGCTTGCAGGATCAGTGCCAGAACCCCTAAATTCTTGGGGGCAGGGATCCTGTCTGCAGTTCGCCGCTCTCACCTGGCGAGCGTTTCACAGCTTGCTGACTAAATAACAGTAACTCATAAGAACATTCTCTTACTTTAAACATTCAAATAGTTTGAAACTATTCACTGAAAAGAACAATGCCCTTTGGCTCTGCAAATGTTTGTGGTTTTGCAGAGCAGGAAATGCTTTCTGGCTGAATGCTATTGCTCATCACATGGAGAAGTGGCTGAAGATGAATCTGTTCCTTCCATTCTCACAGTTACTTTAATTACTTCTGATATTCTGTTTAGAGTTAGGAAATGGAGCAGTGTTTGTGGCTTGCCTCTGTTCAGTCTTCCTGGCGCTGGAGCAATTCTTCCTTAGTTTTTTTTTTCCCCCTCTCTTTTCTTTTACCTACTGGTTCCTGACAGGTGGTGTTCAATGGGGCAAAAAATTATCAGCAAAATCCTTACTCTGTTATTAAGGATTTCAGCACTGGGAAAGCCTCTGTGTGTAAGATTTACCTTAAAGTTATTTTTGCTGCCTGTGTGGAGAGAAAATTTTACTGTTGTTACCTTAAGCACAACAAACTTGCTTATCAAGCATCAAAACAGGAAAAAAATTATAATAGATTTTAAAAAGTAATTGCAAGAATAGGTAAACACCAAATGTGTAATAGCAAGCCTTGTTTGTACAGTGTAGAAACTTTTGACACCCAATAAATAATATTTTACGGAGGGTTCAAGTGGAGCCTAATCTGGAAAAGGATTCTGTAGGCAAAACAACATTATGAGGTGCCATGTTTATTGTCTCTGTGATTTCCAAGTTGAGTTTTAAGATTTCTCGATTTCACAACATCACTGTAAAAAAGGGTTCTTCAGTAAAATCTTTGTGGGTTACATTCGGTCATCACACACAGCAGTACAACCCAACTGCCCTCAGGTAACTTGCACGGTTTTAAGGAAAATGCTGGATCTTCATTAATTCTGTGGTCAATTTGTGGGTACAGTTAGGATTCATTGTGCTCCCTCAGGGCGTAGGGAGGTTCGACTGTGTTGATTAGACCTTTAAAAAAAATATGTTCACACACAGAATATTTAAATGAAGTTGAGGAGATGCACAAGGTCGAGTCATGTCTGATAATCCAGACTGCTGAACTTTTGTGGAATAAAGACTTCTGCTAGTTCCTTTAGAATAAGTCAGAATTTCATGTAGGATAGATGCCTTAAGCCCCTGGAACGTGGCTCTTCTCCCAGGCATAATTTGGTTTCAAGGTAAAATATTGTTCTTAAAATAGGCCTGGAGGGCCTGTGGAGACTATGGAACATGTAGAATAAGGCATGTGGTGGACCTCCAGTACTAAACATGAGCACCTGGGGCCCTTGTTTCTGAACTAGTGAAGAAACGTTCTGTGTGATTTCACGTCACCCTTCTCCCATCGCGAAATGGACCCTCGCTGTCGGTGCGTATCACAAGCTAAATGATTACTTTCAGCCTACCTGCGTTCTCCTCACATTTTTCAGCTGGATCCAGTTTCTCCTCCTCGTTTAAAATACCGCAGCACAGAGTGGCTCAGCTGCCAGGGTCCAGCACTGAGGGGTGGCTGTGTTTCGGTGCTGGATGAAATAATCCCTCTATTTAGTCTGCACAGAACTGTTAGTAACATTTATTGAGTGCTTTTTGTGTCCTTTGGGATAATAGGCATGCTATAAACAGGAGATGATGTTAATGTATATTAATAAACAAAGGTGTTAACGTGTGCAGAATTTGTCCAGGCAGGCTTAAATTGTTTATGCCAAGTTGTTAGAGAGTGTTTCTGCGGTAAGGGATATGTTTTGAAAAGGAGATGCTGCAAAATGTTGGCTTTTTTTTTTCCACATATTTACCTCAAGAAAGAGGGTTTACAAAAACTGCTAGACTTAAGACCATGAGCTATGAGATTGGAGTGCATCCAATATCTTCATGATGAATGCCTCCAGGAAATGGTGTCTTTGCAACAAGAAACAATCTTTATTTTAAAGGCCATGCTGTTGGGATGGAGCAGTAAAATCTACTGTGGCTGCGTCCAAATCTTTCATTTAAATTTCACCAAGCTATAGGGAAGAATCAGGCAACCAAAACTTATCTCTAGAATATGTCAGAATAAGACCTTATTAATTGTCTCCTTGACACCTGTGGCATTTGGAATTCCTTTCCAAATATTAATCATAGATGCATCTTACTGTATACTGTGATAAAGGTTCTGACCTCTCTTGTGAAGGGCTTTCAAGAATTCTGCAAGGGAAAACAATGGCAATGTTTTGCGCAGATTTTTTCATATGTATTTAAAGATACTTAATCATCATAATTTGATGAACTGTGGATTGACTAGTAAAGAACAACTCTGTTATTACTGGTAAGAGGCTAAGCCCAGCATCTTTTAGTGAAATGTTAACATTTGATTCCCTGATAAAGTTACACAAATAATTTAACCCCAAATTTATTGTGTAGCGTTCTCAAGTAATATTTCTCTGCAAAATGAATATTAAAAAAGTTTGGCAGCTAAAGATGAGAGCTGTAAGTCAAAAGAACAGTCTTAAATGAAAACTGAAGCTGTGGTGTGATCCTCTACAGGACTAGAGGTCAATATAGAGGTGTAGATCTAAATATTGATTAAGAGGAAGAAGGAAAGCATTTAATTAATTGTGGTTTTAAAAAAGTGATAAATCTGTGATAAATCTGTGTGCACAAGGCACTCTTAACTTACAGAACTTTGTCCCCTATAGATCATGTACATAGCCACGTGTGTGAAAGATTATACCTGAATTTAATACGTAACGTAGCAAAAGATGACAACAGGCAGAGTTATCCTATTCTGAGATAAGATTATGATGTTGAGAGTTTAATTCAGGAAATCATTTGCATCACCTAAAATACAAATGCTCTGAGAATTTTGCCCGTTGCATTCAGACCAGGCAACTTTTGGGCAAAAAGCCGATTGACTCCATTAGTTTTATACCGTGCCCGCTGCTGTAGTCTCTTACAACTTTTCTGTGAAATAATCATCTGTAAGAAGGTCTTGCAGATAGAAAGACGAGAAAGGCAGGCAAGAGTTCCTGTTTCGGAGGATGGGGGAAATAGTTTGGAAATCATTAGACTAGTCTTAATAGTGTCAAAGTCTTTGTGTGGAAACTGCTGAATTTATATACTAAATTGAATGTCTAATTTTTTCACCAAGCTGCATTCTTTGCAGTCTGATCAATTATGTTGTATAAGCTAAATGAAACAGATAGTCTTTTTCTTTCTTAAGCCTTTTGCAAATGTGGATTTTCTTTTCAGTTCCTCAAAAGAAAATACAGAGCATACCATCACCTTGAGTGAACACAGATGTTTTAAGGACGTTAGCTTGCACGGAAATCAGACATGATTTGAGGAAGAAATGCTTATACTCCACCTCCTGCTGTTTTTCCCTCCACATGTACATCCCTCCTACCCTTACGCCCTTATACGCGATCTTTTCTTTGACCTTTGGTGAATCAAATTATTTTAATAAGAAACAATTCCAATTTGCAAAACCGAGCTAGAATTATACTTAATTTTGCCTTTGGCATAAGAGATTTCTGAAGTTATCTGTTGGTGGAGATGCACTGTTGTCTGAACGAGTTGTCTTTTCTCTCTTACCCCATGGAAAGTTTTTAACAGTAAAAAAGCAAATGCAACTTTTCCCAGTTGGGGACTGTGTTGAGTGGGTGGTGTATGAAATGCTGATGAGGGAGATGTGGCCTGTATTGCCAGATGAACCACAGACCATCTGGGTGACCCTGAGTTTTCCCCTCTCCTTGCTTCAGTTTTATCATCTGTTAAAAACAAACAAAAAAAAACCCCAAAAAACCAAAAAAAACCCCCCCCCCCCCCCCCCCAAAACAAAACCCCAAAACACACGAAAACAAACACTACCACCATCCCCCCCAAAACCAAAACAAAACCTCAACAAAATCATACAAACCCAAGATAATGATACATCCCCTTTGCACTGGTACCTAAAATATGAGTAACACTGCTGCAGCCTGAGAAGCGACCGTGTTAATGATGCAGTCAAGGTGATGTTGACCTCCAGTGTGGAAGTGATAAGGTCTTTTTCTCAAATGCTTGCCTTTTGTTGTTTTGTTTTTCCTTTCTGCTGTACCTTCTCTTGTACCTTTCTAAAGAGGCTAAGAGTAGCGATGAGCTTGAAATGCAACCTCTCACACTTGGAAATTGTGTTGAGAGGCAGCCTACGCGCCAAACAGCGTTGGTATGCTTCTCAGTTTATTTTCTTTCTCTTTCAAAGCACTTGAAAGCAGTTAATAAGAGTAAACTTGCAACCTGTTGTACGTTCAGTGTGGTGAATAGCAAAGAGCACACTTAAGGCAAAGTCCTCCGCATTGATCCCGGTGAGAAGCAGCTTAGACAAAGAGCTGTGTTTTAATACATGGAGCTACTGGTTGACTTACAAACTCATCAGATCAATGACTTTTACTTCATAACATTGTTGGGTTTTCAGGCTGAAATGTTTTGGGATTTTTTTTTTTTTCCCACCTCTCCCCAACCCCCCCAGCATTTACAGAAAATAGGCTGTTAGGAAGCGGAAAGCATGCAATTTATAGCAGATGGGTATAAACTGCTCCAGCTCTACTACTGGAATGGGATCAATCAGGAACACTACATGCACCATTTACCCAGAAGAAATCCACCTGGGGGAACCCTGTGGAATTTTAGCCTATTAAGACAACACCTTAACAAGTTTAGTTTAAATAAAAACTTGTCGGCAGGCATTAAGCGGAGCGAAAGCTCTCGCTCTCCATCATCCCCTCGCCGTCCCTTTGAGAAATGTGACTCCCCTTGAGCTGTCACAGCAAAGCTTCTCCTTCCTTAATTTTTTTTTTTTCATTTGTAACTTTTGTTCAGCCCGTTCTTAAAAGCCAAGCCCCACGGAGGTTCAAAAAAGTTCCACTCCATTTACTGGACTTCTAAATAGAAGGCATTTAGCCGAGCCAAGTGATTAGGCTTTCTGTTGCTTTTAACCGCTCCCTTCACGTGTAACTGGCTGTCTAGTGATCTCTCTCTGCTTTAGCCTGTACTCTTCTTTTATTGTTGTCTCTTTATGAATTTTTGGCTTTTTTTCTTAATTTTTTTTGGGGGGGGGGGAATTATCAGGGTAATGATACATACTGTATGCAGGGGTTGGGGGGGACTTTATATTTCCCTTTGGGAAATGTAACAGTACACTGAAAATGTGGCTCTAGTAAGGCTTGTAAAAGAGATTGGGGCATACAGTATAATGTAGCATAAAATGGAGTATGTGACTTTAAAGAAACTAATCTATTTTAGGCTAATGTTTTAAATTTTGCATTTGCCCCTTTTCTTGTCCCCCAGGTGAAATAAAATTGTGTTTCAAATCCATCACAAAGCACTGGGGGATTTTAGAGGGGAAGTGAGGCAGGCCAGAGTTAAGTTTTCCTACTGTACTTGCAGCCCAAACCTTCTACCTCTGCTTACCAGCAGGTGAACCCAAAAGCAAAACTGGCAGTAAGTGCAATACAAACTAGCTAATTGGTTTCCCACGTTTAGTTTTGAGATGCCTTTTTTTCTGCATTCTTTCTATCCTGAACAAGCAGTAGGTTTTGGTGCCTGCTTCCTACTGAAATCAATATAGAAGTTGCTTTATTTTATTTTTTTTTCCAGCGCCTTTTTCTTATTAACCCTTGGCACTGTCGTTCTAGGTGCCAAGTTGACATTACTGCCCTGCCGACGAAGCAGACCAATTGCTTAGAGCTGCCTCTGGAAAAACACCCAGGGTCCCTGCTAATGCTGATTGCTGTTGCCCCATGTACAGGAGTGTCTATCTCCGATCTGTGTGTCTGCCCTTTGGGAGACCCCAGTGAAAGGCAACAGATTTCACGACGTTATGTGAGTTTACATTTTTTTTTTCTTCCTTTTTTCTCCTTTAGGATTGAAAGTAGTCAAAATTGCAGGAGGGGGGGGAAAAAAAGGATTTTTCCAGTCATAATAACATGCCTCCTACTAGAGAAAACTATTACGTGGAATAGTTATTATGTTTAGAATGACAAGGAGATTGGCAGGGCAGATAGACCCAAACAATTTGTCTGCTTGTATATGTTGAGTTTTAAACTAATACTTTTCTTTGCAAACTTGAATTGTATTAAGAGATTATCATGGGGAACGAGACGCGCTGCGTATCAGGGAGAGATCATAGTATACCTGGCTTGCTTTCCACCTTTGGGGAGGGTATGTTCTGGACTTTCAACTTTTGGAAGATAAAGCCATATGATAGCTTCCACACCTCAAACCTCAAAAGCTGGGCAAGAAGGAATAAGTGTATCTAAAATGAGGTGTGAGACTGAGGCGTGAGGAATTTGAATCACAAAAGTTGAAGTTTTTGAGGACAGATTCTTCAGTCCTGATTGAGCGTGCTGCCTTCCCAACCCATGCTGCTTCTCCAAGTCTGCCGATGTCCCATTTTCTGTTTTAATTGGCAGATGATACTTGCATAAACATGCAGGGCTCCTTCTGATCTCCACCGTAATGTTAACATGTAACTTCTGTGAATGGAAAATTCCCTTAGGAGCAGGTAGTCTGTGATGTCATGAACATCAGTCATGACGCAGTGAGACTGGGACAGTGGACGTGTATTTATGGGTGTATCAGCTGCTGAACTGAAACACCACAGAAATAGCGATGGATATAAAAATGTAAGTCATTTAGTGGTTTAATCATTTGTGTTTCTTACTGAATTACAAAGGAAACGTCTTTATGCTTTCCTCCTTGCAGTGTATAAAGAACTCCTTTCAGGACACAAAGGACATTGGATTCTTACAAGTCAAAGTTTTAAAGGCGGTGGACCTGTTGGCAGCAGATTTTGCAGGTATTTTATTTCTATTTTGTAGCATACGATGCTGTAATATATTGAGTGTTATTTAGACTATGCAGTACTGGCAGTTGACCAAGGAAAAGTAAATCTTCCCATCATTTTTCCAGTGCTGAAACCTGCCTCAGGGAACTGAGATACCAAATGGTTTTGACTCCCAAAAGTATGCGAGAAGGTCCGGTGGATGGAGGTCTGATTTCTGCTTTATATGTGAGCAGCATGACCAATAAGTTAGCACTTAGCATGGTGTGTTGTATTTTCCAACAGGAACATGTAAAATCAGAGTTGATAGAAAGTCATGGTGACTGCAAAGCAGCCTCTCCATCTTTTATCGGGTGCCTTGTGAGTTCGTGAATGAGGCTGAAAGATTTTGGGGGCATCTGACATGGTGCTGAGTGCGTGGGTTTGGGTGGTGCTGCAGGCTGTCACCCGAAAAAGAAAGCTTGCCAGCAATGGGGGTGCAAGTGTGACGGTTTCTCTTTGGAACTACTTTGAAGCTTTGAATTGGGATGATCTTTTTGGCACTCTTGCTCCAAGAAAAGGTTGTGTTTTCCACTGAGCTGTACCTCAGATTGTGCTTGGTCCTGACAGCAATGGACACTAACGCCTTTTAAAAAAACAGCTTTATATTGTTTCTCCAGGGAAGGTCTAGGGAATTGATACTTCTCTGTAGCGACTGCCTGGATATTACTACTTTTATTATCATCTTCTCCAGGATTCTGGAGACCTTTTAATTCCCTTCTGTATCTTGCAGCAGCTCATAATTCATGGACACCACATTGTGTGTTGTGTATTTGCTGACATAGTTGTTTTTTAAGATAACTTCTTGATAAGGACAGGAAAGATGCTAGAGAGAAAACACGCTTGCCCTATTCTTTGGTATTCATGAAGACATTGTAACATGAGAACGTTGCTTCTAAAATAATGATGAAAGGAGAAAGCCCAACATCAATCACGATACTATTTCAGTTTCAATTCGCTGCTTAGCCCTGCAGTGTGTGGGGGGAATACTGCAGACAGCAGTGCTTTAAAGAACTGAAGAATTTAATTTGAAAACAACCAAAACACCCGCTAATAACAAAAGGTAGCTTGTACAGAAACGCACTGCTAAATTGATGTAATAAATACATCTGTAGGGAATTAGGAGTGTAACCGCACCTTACTGATAAATTGAAGTGTACCATAGCAAAGCAGAACGCTTGGCACATGGCAAGGGCTAGGGCTGTCTAGAAATACGTGTCCAGGGAAAAAGCTGAGCCTGGAAGGTTATTTACCATTTGGAAGACTTCGCTGATGCTAATGCAGTTGCATCAGTGACGGATTTGGCCCCCTTTCCCTCAATACAGGAGCATGTGGGTGGATAATGAACATTGCAAGAGGCACACAGGTTCTTGATTCTGCAATTCAAAGACTTTTCATACAGAGTATGTGACACACATTCCTTGTGCATAGCACAGAATGAAATTCTGCTTAAGTAAAAGGTTACTCAGTCTGTCATTATATTCAAAATAACCCAGGCTTTGAGCCTGATTCATGAAGCAAATGACAAATTGTTTTTCAATGGCGGTGCTGAAAATATCCTAGTATTATGCTGTAATAGACCCACCAAATTGCAAAAGGATGCAGCCATTTTAGGTAAAAATAGCATAATTTCTGATCGTGAAATGAGAGACATAAAGATTAATTATCTGTTCTGAGCCATTCATAAATGATTAGTGCAGCAATTATGGGCTTCCATAATAGAGCCCTCCTAGAGCAGTGCCATATTTCCTGCATTGCCAGGGAGACTGCTCAGATTTATTGTTATTAGTAAAAAGTAAATTCAAAGTCTAGCTAAAAATCTGATAAAGGGAAAATTGCAGAGACAATAAGAGGTTCAAAGATTTCCAAGGGTTAGTAGAGGAGCAGTACGAGCAGGCAGTGTTCCCTCCCTGTCCTATCCCACAGCAGTCGTGAGTCTTGGGCAGGTGAACTTCTACAGACCAGTCATGTCATGACAAGTGTGATGCCAACTTGTACCTTACTACTTAATCCCATAATAAAGATGAGGTTTTGGTGTGATTGGGCATTCTATTGTCAGTTGATTATATGTTTGCATTACAGATTTTAATTGCAAGTTTTTAGCCTGCTCTAATAATAGCTATCAGAAAACAACATAGTATCTACTTTGTTTTTTAAGTGTTTTGAAAATCCATATTTTACCATGTGATGTAAATTTTAGGCTCGTTTCCGCACAGCTATATCAAATATGTAAAAGCTCTTCAGCCACGGCGAGTCTGGTTTGAGGCTTCCATACTTTTATGTTCCTAGATAACAGTTTTGTTGATGTGAAAATGGCTTTCTGCTTTGTTGGATGTTTTCTGTGTAAGCATGAGAGTTCTTCTCAAACACTGCATTTGCTCACTGACCAAAAAATAACATTCAGAATACCAAATTATACAGTGGGATTGTTTTTGGCATATACCAGTTTGCATTTCAAGCAGTTTCTCTGAAAGGCTACATGCATTTTCCACATTTATCAGGGAATGGGCACGTAAGCTGAAAAGGAGAAGACAAATAGATTCCAGTAATACACATGGTCTTTAAACTTTACCAATATTGACTAGTTAATACCCACTGTTTACAGACTGAAGAGATTGCTGTTTAGTTTATAAACTTCTCAGAGTAAGAACCTTAAGAGCTCTGCATTAATAATACCAAAAATAAGGATTAAGAAAAAGACAGCTTTTGCTTAAATATCTTGTTTGTCTGCTATCTAAATCCTTGCATTGCTGACATATTTAGTTGCCTACATAAAAGGCTGGAGTGTCTGTGGCTGAGTTATACACGAGCACTGAAGATGAGATTAAATCAGATATTGAGCCAGACATGCTGATAAAGGGCACTCTGTTCACGATGGAAACCACTGAGCTGCAATAAGTTGTGAAAGCTACAAATTCATGTAATGTGAGTTATCAAAAAGAATACATTAGCAAACATGTCTTCACCATAATAGGTTCCACTCTGGCATCCTTCTTTTGCTAGGAGGCTGGGTTTCTCTGGTTTTTGTGGGTTTGTTCCGTTTGCTGTACGTACGATACCTGGTTCACGCATGGATTCTCCAGTTGATGTTGGGTTTTGTTTTAACTGCGGCATGGTAGCTGGTCTTCATAGCTTCAAAGACTTGTTCTCGTTGAACTGATTGAAGAAATGCTGCTGATACAAACACAGTGCTGTTCTGCTCTTCTCGTGGTGCAGCTACTGTAATCGTCTGAAGAAGACCACAGACTCTAAGTGGAGGACAAAATAGAGAGCTGTAACAGCAGCACTGATGCTTACCTGAGTCAGAATGCCGGTACTGCTTTCATGATGTTGTCTGAATAATTGTCAACATGAGCAGATTTTTCTTGCTATAAAGACTTAGAGATGATTCCCTGTATGTCTCAGATTTCAGGTAGTGAGTGAAGCCACCTGGATGAGTTGTAAGGTAAGTGTTAGTTCCCCTCAAGTCATTCCAACAGAATGAGGCAACTTGCAGTTGTCTTAATGTATCTTATTTTTAGTTGGCCAGTCACTTCCCCAGACCTACTGCAAAGAAAGAGAGGGAGTGTGCATGCTAAATAAAATAATGGGTCCGCTTCACTTTTGTTTTTCTATCTGATCTTTCCGTAGGTAAAAGTGATCCTTTCTGTGTATTAGAGCTGGGAAACGACAGTCTTCAAACACACACTGTTTACAAGAACCTCAATCCAGAGTGGAACAAAGTTTTCACGTTGTAAGTGGATTGCTTTTGAAAACATGCTGCAACACCAAACAGTTAGCCGCTGAACTATAAAAGCTATCGACTTTGGGAAAATACAAAGGTCAAGTTTAAGATACGTCATTTTTTCATAGTCAGAGAGGATGTTGGAGAAATATCAAATATAAATTAAAGCCTTTTGCCTTTTTACTAGTTCTTGCATGGAGTTTATTAATAGAAGTCATTAAAAGAAAAATTACTGTGATATTTATAGGAAGAATCATGACTAGACATAATGGAGTCTTAGCTGGATCCAAGAGATAATGTAACAGAAAGTAGATACCAGATACTCGCGCCTACATTTTCCATAATTTAAATTAAAATATGTTTCATTGAACCATGGTAGAATCCTTGTTTAATTTGTAAGCAAGCAGAAAATTAGAGCTCATGTTTTTTCTGGTATATCTTCTGAATTTAAACTAGGCAAACGCAGCTTACTCCAAATTAGAAGCTTAAATTTTTATGGAAATCAAAGTATTCTTTTTTTTTGTGACTTTACCTAAATTATCACTTTTGTTATTAATATTGCTTTTAGGCAGCGTGATTTTTTAATCTTGCTTTATGCTGACAAAGGTTTTTGTGAATAACTGAGTGGGATAAATGTCTCCAAGACTGTAGCAGTCTGCAGGAAGGAAGGCAACCGCACGGGCTGGCCATTGAGCATTTATGACATTTACACCTCTCCACTGGAAGAACAGTTTGAGAATTATGGACTTCTTGCAAAAGCAAAATTCATAAAGACTGGGCTGGATGTGAATACAATAAAAAAGTATCGGATCTCTTTGATAGAAGCGCCTTGCTGGATTTCTGTTTAATTCACTGCTGCAGCTGAATGCATGTCTCTTGGAGTCCTTTCTCTTACTTTGTTCTCAAGAAGCTTCCACTCATTACTCTTTTTCTGAGCTCGTGCCAGCAGATGAGTCTTGTCGGATGTTCAGCCAGCAAAATAAATCTAATAAGAATCCAAAATTTTATTTAAAAAGAAAGTTTGTGTTTATACTTCCTGTGGGTCTCAGAAATGTCAGCTGAGGGCTATCTCTAGATTTCTTATTGCTGTTGCATGGCTAGTCGAAGCACCAAATCTGCAAAGCCAGTCAGCCTCTCGCATCTCTCCTTAGATTTTTTTTTTTTTTGGACATTTTAAATGTCAATTAAGCACCTTAAAAGCTATTGATGATTTAGATTTATTTTAGAGCAGAATGGATTGTTTTGAGTGGGTGAATCCATTTTAGCTGGAGAGTTCAATATCACTAGACAGCCCTTCCCATCATATTCAGATTTTTTGCGACACACTTAACCTGTGTGTGTCACTGTGGGGTGTTAATATTTTATGCCACTGGTAGCTGTATCATATGGAAAATGATAATGGCTTGGAGAGGAATACGGAAGTATGGTTGCAGAAGTATCAGGTTTCAATACATTTTAAAGACATAGTGTCTTGAAAACAGTGCATTTCATGTTTTTTTGGCTGCCACTAGTGCCTGGGTCCAGGATGTGCTACGGCTGCTAGTGGGAAAGGCAACCAGGTAGCTTCTAGGTTCCGACTGTCTCTACGAGGATCACCTCCCCTGTGTCACAGGCAGAGTCCCGGGAGCAGGACGGCTCTGAAACGACCTTCTCTTGGGCAGAATGGCAAACGCACGCTGTACCATGTACCTCTTCCCTTAACTCTTGCGCATGAAAAAAGGATAAGAAGAGATAACTTAATGCAACTTAAGTCGTCTCCAGTTATCCATGCTTTTGCAGGCACACAGATACAACTTCCCTCAAATGGGTCTCTGATTTATTAGTAATCTGATAAACATTTAGGATCCAGTGCTTGTTGCCACATCAGCAGAGCATTTGTACTGAATGGAACGAAAATATTGTACACTTGGTCTTTGATTAGGGTTGTTAGGTGGTTTTTAGAGTAATCATTTTTTAATACCTTAAAAGGGAGATAATTGTTCAAGAATTGTTCAAGTCAAATGAAGTTACATAAGTTTTACTTCCTGGCTCACTCCTTTAATGTTCTGAAGCCTGGTTTTGAATTCAGCCCTTGAGTTCTCTCAATCACCTGTTATCTCTGTTGGAGGGCTGAGTTCTACACTGTTAGCATCAATACCAATGCACAAAAAATGTCGCTGTCTGGTAGTTATTTTCTTCAACTAGTTATGGGACTGAAATATGAAGGGAAAGCTTGGAGAACACCCATAATTTGATTCATGTTTTTTTGGAATTTAATTAAATTCTAGTTTTATACTCTACGGTATACAGACTTAATTAGTAAAACAGTATTCTCAGATCTTTTTGAAGGTGATTGTGTGCATCTAGTATCAAATATTATTTTTTTTATGTCTTTGCACTTTTTGTTCCAGCCCTATTAAAGATATTCATGATGTTTTGGAAGTGACAGTGTTTGATGAAGATGGAGATAAACCCCCTGATTTTCTTGGAAAAGTTGCAATCCCTTTGCTGTCTGTAAGTTACCTTTGTCACATATATAATTCAAACATTCATGGTTTTTCTGGGAACGAGTTGCATTTCATTTCCCTGTAGCACAAAGCAACACAGATTTAGCGATAAACAGGTTTTGTGATCTATATATGCCTTAGTTGGCAGTGTTTATAGTCCTCCTTAGTGTGATGAGCATTGCCAACCCATTTTAGGACATATTTGGTTGATTGGAAAGAAAATTGCAGAAGTGTGTGTACTTCAGTATTATATGCCAGGTAGGTCTGAAAACATAATTGAGTTATTCTGTATGTTTCCACACCATCTTCTGAAGGTAATGTTTTAAGCATGTCTTTGTTCTCTTGCTTCTTTTTACTCCAAGAAAATAATTGCACATCGTGGTAGGATTGACTAGGGATAGTTGTTGTTACTGGCACAGCTGAACAAAATTACCTAAAAGGGGTGTTTTCTACTCCGTAGTGCTTTTTAAGACTGGTGGCTTTTGTTCTGTAAGCAAATACGGGAAGAGTGAGCGCTACCATGGGAGTATAAAATCAAAACTGGAAACAGAGTGAGCTCAGGGGAAAGTGGTTGCTCTGGAGATTAAGGAGAGCTGGAGCTTTTTCAGAAATGGCAAAAAAAGGCCAAGCTAAAGAGAGGAGAACAAAAAAAGATCGTTAAAAGACATTAGTAGAGAAATGGGGGAAAAAGAGCTTTGTGTTTGTAAGACTGATTTAATTTTGGAGCAGGGCTGGTAATAATGGAGTGAGTAAACCAGTTCAAGAGGATGTAAACAGCTCCATGTGTATGTGGAGAGGAAGATTCTGGTAACTTTTGCAGTAAAGTTTGGGAAGAACTTTCTAGGCTGTGGCTTTATTACATCAATTAGTAGATGAGGCTTGAAACATCACGGGACTCATGCTCATGTCACTCAAGTGGTGCAAGCACGTTTAACTGTATAGCACAGGGATCTCCTTGAGTTTTGAGGCACTGATGTTTTGCAGTAGGTTCCCTGTGCAGAGGAGAGGGTATGACAAGTATTTATGCGGCGAGTAGTGTGAAGACCTGTGTGAACGTTAATGCTTGCAATATATAATGCGATTCAAGTGACGCATGCCGTAGTGAGATGCTTTCAGCAATGCACAGTGGGATGCTCTGGGTAATAGTGCACTCAAATAGGCAGTCGGTGAATCCTGATTGAAATTATAGAGTACAAAATTGCAGTATTGTTTTGAAACATCCCTGGGAAAGCGTATTCACCTCTGCGGAGAGGATGGAGCACATGTCTCATGGTGAAGGTGAGAGTTTGAGGCTTAGAGGTGGGCTGCTGCAGGAAAGGCAGTGTTGCAGTAACGGCTTGGTGGGGCTCTGCCCTAGCAGAGGCTGGAGAAATGGGAGTTTTCTAGAGGGAAAGTGAAGGTCCCAGCTGATCAAAGCGGGCCATATAAGCCCCACAAAGTCAGCGTAGTTTAGATAAGGGACCAATCAAGATCAGAAAGGAGGAACTGCAAATATTTCATGTCTCTAAAGAAATAATGAACTGCCCAAAAAACTCTTGGTCTGGCCTAGAGGACATGATCCCAGCTGAAGGAATGCTTTATAGTGCTAAAGAAATAGGCCAACGTGCTCCAGTTTTGTTGTTATTTTGTGTAAATACCTGTATGTCTTGTGCGTGTGAGTTAAAAGCAATGTGGCTTCTGAATCTTCTTCGGGAAAGTGTGTTAGTTTTCATCCACCACCTGCTCTTTCCAAGTTATACTGGAGTCCAGAACGGGGGAACCCCTGCAATTTGGGGATAAGAAGAGCCTAAACTATGGAAGCTGAGGAGTAAATTCTGGGCTTTTGGTGTCCCACACCCTGTGGTGTGCTTAGCAATCCTCTTCCTGCCCTGGCTTGGACCGCAAGTTTTTTTTGAGGCTGGGGATATTTTAGATTGTTTGTCTGTTTTAGTGGCTTGAGTTGTCAATATCTCCAGTTTTAGAACAACATTACAGTCACTTGGGCATGGAGGATGATTTGATGTTTACAGGGAGGAAAAAACCTCTTAACATCTTTTATTCCATTTTTGATCACTTTGTTAATTTTTCCCCAAGTCCTCGTATCTCTGATGTTACTGGAAGAGAGTGGCTGGAGCAGCTGCTCTCCTGCAGATCCAGTGCTTGCCAAATGGTCTGCGTGATCGGCAGCAGGCTGTGTGGGCTCACAGTGAGAAGATGTTAGATTTGGATTTTCTGTTGATTTTATAGGCATTTATCAAGTATCCCTTAGGAAGCATGTAACAAGGCAGAGGAGGGGAGTGCATGTGTGTGGTAATGTCCAAACTATTCAGCGTAGGTTTTTTGTCCAAGGTCTGAGACAAAAAACCAAAATAAAAATTGTTTATGCTTTCCCTTGCCAACTGATCTTCTTCCTTCCTGTTCAAACTTCTCTGCCTCCTATTTCAGTCAAATCTAGTGGAGATATATTCATCTCTGCTTCTGATTAAAAAACATTTTGCACCTATTAACTTAAGCTGCTCAGAGAACTGCGATTTTCTAAGCTCTTTTTCTTGAAATGGGATTTTCTGTTTGTGTTGTCATTTTGACTATAAATTTGAATGTATCTTTTGAACCATTTAGATAAAAATGCGGAAAGAGAACAGTAGTTAAAGACTCAAGGAAGCCTTGCAAATCAGGTTTAATTTCTGTAGGTAATCAGGCCTATTATTTGCCTTGCATTAAATTCCCTTTTGAAAATAGAAGTGGATTTGCTGGTTTTTTCCTGTTAAAAAAGCACAAATTTGACTTGTGACCTGTCAGCACATGAAGTAAGTTTACTTCAGGAATTGTTCATGGATGACTAGATGCTTTTCTTAATGGAAAAATTGCCTTGAATAAAGTATGTGTTGGAGGGACATGAAATGTTTGACAACAAATTTTTGGTTTAAATGTGCTCAGGAGTCTTACACTGGTGTTTTGCAAATGTGTACACCTTCATCATCACGTTAACACACGAATAGCCATACAGCATAAAAATTCAGAGATAATGAAATTACTTCTGCTTTCCAGTCATCCTTGACTGTGACTTAGGTTTGTTGCAGGCACCAAATAAGGAACATAAAATATTGGGCAGCATGAGAAGGGTTTTGAAGTGTCAGGTGATGAATAAAGCTGAAAACTTCATGTTCTTTTGATAGGCACGATGAAGCAATATTGGATGAATACACAATTTGCTTTGTTTCTCATACAGCTCTATTAAGAATGCACTGTAGAGACTTTGATTTTGATAGAATTACACTGAATTTGGAAATTTCTCTATTTGCAGGTAGGTGGGGGACAGAGGGAGAGAAGTGGTTATTTGTTTGCATTGTAGCTTTAGTTTTACCATGTTAACCAACCTATTCTATTTCTTTTTTTCTCCCTGCCCTTCATGTCAAACTACTGTCCTCCTTTAAAGCATGTATAAGAGACCTCATCTCAAATACAGCTCTGGTCAGTCACATTCACAGAAGCAGAATTTAAACTGGAAAAGACTACCAAGATATTCAGCAAAATGGATCCCTCTCTTGCCAGAGGCGACCTATAGAGTCTAGCTTGCCTAACCTTTGGGCTGAGCGGGAGATGGCCTTCTCAGAGCCTGGGGAATGAAATGGAAGACCATTTACACCACTGAACAGAGCAGGCTTTTGTTGTAGAAACTGAAGATGATCCTGGGGAACAGAAGTAGGTCAAAAACTTCATTGCTTTGGGAAAGGCATTTGATAGGTTTAGAAGTTTTGTAGGTTTTGGAAGACTTTAATTATCAAAGAAGTCCTTTCCGTGTCTGTGTTCCTTTGTGCCCTAGATCTTAGTAAAAGCAACCGTGTTTCTCTTTCTGAGGGTCTGTCTTTTTTGTTTTGCTTCAAGAGACTCCTATCTCCTAGAAGGCTGCAAGTTATTAGAGACGTGGGAGCATATAGTGTGCTTCAATGAATTTGAAAGCAGTGTATATCAAATACCTTCGTGTAGAAAGACCTTTGAGTGAAGAGTTGTATTGCAGAATGGAATGTTTTTTATCTGCTGAATTATCAGCTCAGAGTATTTTTCAGCTGCACCCTTTTTTCAGCAAACAGGAAGAGGTCTATGAAATATATCAAGTGCCAAGCAAGGTCAGTAGCCAACGATACAGTGAAAACAAGTAGTATGACTTTCACAAGCTTAATTATCTAAAGCATGGCCTGGATTCAGAGAGCAGACACCTGACAATTGCAATTACTTAGCACTTGACCATGAGTGCACAGCCTTTTCCAGGAGAAAGCTTTACAGTTTGAGAAAAGTGAAAACGCTGCATTTATTCAGTAGAAGCAGCTGTGAAGTGGATAGTCGCTTCTGACTTTTATCCCTGTCATAAACCAGAAATTTTGGAATGGGGAAAAACTCCACATCTCTTCCAGGAAAAAATGACACTTTGTTTCCAAAATTAAATTCTTCCCTGACCACACGCTACTCACTGAAATGGTATCATAAGGAATGTTTTTCTCAAGTACCACCTGGGCTCCTTGTGTTCGGAGGGTTTTCAGCTCCTCCTCAGACTGCCTGGAAGCCCTCGTGTGGCTGCCTGCTTTCTTGCAGACCATCAGCTCCATGTCTATTCAGTCTTTGGATATCAATCCTCTGCCAAGAACCCAAATTTCCATTCTACTTTTGATACCACAGAAGGTTGTTAAAAGTTAAATATTTGGGGCAAAGAGTTTTGGGATAAATGAACGGGCATTGCGTACAAAATCGAATCAATGTATATTGCAAGACTGGGGAGAAACAAAAAACTCTATTCACGTCCAGGTGGATCAAATATGTGGCTTGCTTTCATCTTTTCCTGGGGAAGTATGTCCTTTGATAAGGGTAGGTGTGTGTCTATTACAAGACAGCTTTGTGTTATTCAGGGCAAATGGTATGACATTGTGCATCAGCAATGAGCTCAAGCAGCAATATCAGAGGTCCCAAATGCTTTAGATGAATTACCCTTGGAGAGTAGCCATTACCCTTTCCACACGTCACCGGTGTTGATGTACAGAGGTTTAACCCAGCATTCTTCTGTCAGGTCATCAATATATGACATTGAATCTGCATCAAAGCTGGATACAGAGTGAAGTTTTCTTAAAATCAATGTAAAAAAAAAAAAGGCCACTAAACCATATTTCTTTGAGACAAGAGCAATGAAAAAACACCCTTTGCTGCGTAAGGGTCCTGTCTTCTCTGTGTTTTGTGTCATATCAATCTCGGCTTTCGCTATTTCATTAAAATTCCCAAGCGGTCAGAAGGTTGTTGCTTAATAGATTTAGCATTGGCTGGCTACATCAATACTGTGTTTAGTCACATTTGTTTTACTGGGGACATCTGTGGGAAGAGTTTAGCAAATATATTCATTCATTTGAAAGGAACCTGGTGCACTTTGGGCCTTGACTGTACAGTGGTCTCACATACCTGAACGTTTCCTTCAGTTAGAGGCAACTTCTGGCAGTGCTTTGTCTGAAGTGCCTCTGGAGGCTGAAATACTTAATGCAGAAAGAATTTGAGCTTTTCTTCCAACTGATAATTTCCTTCGCGTGGCCCGGTGTGGAGAAGGGACTGTGGTGTAGAATACACAATTTGTTGTCTGAAAATGTTTATATTGATATTTTGTCTTTCTGTGTTGATTCAGAACAGGGAAATGCCTCAACTATCAGAAATTCCCAGGGGATGGAAATCTTGACTTTTTTCCTGATGGTGACCTTGCAAAGCAAAGCATGTCGGTGGGGTCGGCGCTACTGTCCTCACGTTAATCATGTGGTTATGGGCACTCTTGCTTGGTGTCTGAGCCCCAGGGTGTTTGTACGCTATTAAGAAGTTTTCACAGAATGCAGTCATTAGTATTCAGTGAGAATATAAAACCTCATCAATAAAGGAATAATACTGATTATGTCTTTAAGGACCTCACCTGCAGATATTTTCACATTTAATTTGAATATTCCTTTTCTTCCCTTTTCCCATGAGTAGATGTAAACATTCGTGGGAAAGAGAGCCTATTATAGACACAGCTATCAGGAATATTCATTGGGTGAAATCCATATGAGGTCAAATATGTTGCAAAAAATGTTTGGGTGATAAAGGAAATCTGATCTTTCTGACATTTAGGTTCATCCTAGGACCCCAGCTCTGGCTGCTCACCTTTTCCACAGCTGGAGAAAGCGTTTAAGCAGTCCTTGTGAACAGCAGAGACTATGGAAAAGTACCCAGAGAGGAGAAATAAATAGGTCCAAAATGAAATTAATATGACTGGCTGCCTCTTGAGATTGAGGGAGACATTGAACAGAATCTGAACTCTGGCTCAGGAACATCATGCAATGAAAATGTAGAGTATTAAAAGCTGTTTTGGATGTTTTCTTCTGGGCACAGTTGAGACATGCCACCGATCTAATCTCCATGCAGTCATGGGTGTTAGAATTACCCTACACCTTTTGCTGAACTGCGCTGGCTTAGCACACTGCCAAAACTGTAAGAGATATTTTTCTTTGACTTTTTTTGCAGAATTTTTTCTTTCTATCCAAATGAAAATGCAATGGAGAAATGCCATTTCGTAGCCGTTCTTCTCTCTCGTGTTTTTCTTTTTCCTCTGAAGAAGGTCAAAAGCTAGCATATTTGTGTGAATGTTTTGTCTTAGGCTGAGTTATAATTGAACATCTTTTACCAGACAAGTCAAACATTTAGAAATAAAGATGCCAAATGAAGCTGCCTGTAAAACTGTATTTGTACTGCATTACTTTTTGCCCTTTCAATTTTAAAATAGCAACAACAACAATGGTGACACCATTTCAAAAAGTTTCCCAAGCAACAAACAACCCCTATTTCCAAAGACAAACAGAGGTGGAAGTTACTTGTTGCTGTTTTGAAACCTACTGTGCGAACACACCTGCAGACACACCCAAAACGGTTGATTCTGCTCCAGTGCTTAAAACGAAGAGTCTTTTCCCCAAAGTCAGAAATGTTTTTTTGAGTACAGAATACTGGGATACCCGACTCGGACCATCTCAGTAGTGACAGAAATTCTTTTCCTTTTTCTATCAATTTAGCAGCATGTGATTTCCCGCCCCCCCCCGCCTTGTTGGTTATGCTCTTGAAAGATGTAAGAAGTATATCCTAAGGAATGTAAAGAGAACTTCCCAGTAGTTGTTGCTCCTAGGGTAGTAGGAAAAATGTTACGAGAAATATGTGTAACTGAAATACATGGAAATTCAGCCCAGAAATTACTAACTGTGGAGAATCCAGAATTGTGATATGTGTTGGACACCTATATCTCTGTAGACACACTGGGAACAACATCCTTTCTATCCTGTGGCAGGAGAGTCCATGGATCAAAGCTCAGTCTAAACCTGCTGCTGGTGGCATCCCCTTGGACCAAAGGGGTAACACCTGCAAACCAAGTCCTTCTGGTCCTGTGTCTCTACCATCAGTAAATCCATTTTTCTGTTAATTTTGGAAATGGAACAAAAGCTTTAATTTCCAAATAAATTTTGTTTTGTTTTCAGTAGCCTTTAAATTTTTTTTTTGTCCTTGCTTGAGGGCGGGAAAAACAAACGGTTGAAATAGCGTAATTCTTTATGATGTAGCAGTTGGTCTGAGAACCTTCTAATGCCAGTCCATTTGACCCTAGGAAAGGGTCTTCTGTTTTGAGGCTGCAGGTTATCTGAGCCTGCTGGTCTGCAAAATAGACCTGCCCCCTTCTCCCAAGCTGCTGCATCCTTTGCCAACTTCAGCCCTATGTGTAGTCTCCTGCAGTGAAAGCAGAGGCGGTTCACGATCAGGTTACTGCAGTGCCTACTATGGTTGTTATTTAGTGCTATTAAATAAATTCCACGTACGCCTGCGTAAGTCCCAGCATCCTGTTAAGCAGGACTTTGAATGAGAACGTAGTAAAAGCTGGAGTTTTTGGTTGGGCACCACTGAGGATGCAAAGTTGGTCCTTGAGACCCTTCTTCCCTTTCAACCATTAGCCAGAAAACCCATTTACCCTGTGACGAGCTATTTGGTACAGAAAGGATGGAGCAACATTGGGAAGGAAGGTGACCTTTCCCTTGTGTCGTGAAATCACTTGGTTCCTGTTACGCCTTTTTTTTTCTTACTCATTTCTGCCATGGTTTATGAGTGCCTCTTCTAAATGCCAGAGCAGCAATAGCAGTTTTAAATATGGTTGCAATTTCATGCCCCCAAATTTCCTCTGTTATCTTTAATCTTTGATCATTACAGTCCCTGAATGTAGCTTTTTGGTAAGCTGCAGCTTTTTATGTTACTGCTGTTTAGAATTAACTGGTCTGCTTCCTAAAAAGCCAAATGTTTAATCAATACATATCCTACTGTGTATAATAAATACTTTTCTGCCATCACTTTTTGAAGAGAGAATGCTTTTGATTTGAGCCAAATAGTTTACAAAATGGTGAGGGAGGTTTTTTGTTGTTTTTTTTTTTTTAATAGATGTTTAATGTGATAGGGCCAACAGGCAGATTAGAGCATAGAAATGGTATTGAAATTCAGGGGTGGGGTGGGGGAAGTCTTTTACATGAATTAGTTTATTTTGAACATTTGTTATGTTAGCACTCGCTCCACTTAAACTGATTAATTTCTTTGAATTGCATTTGTTTCCTGAGTAATAATTTGACAACTTTGCAATAAATTAAGCATTAAGAAGTGGGTACATATACTGGAGTGTGCAGTAGGTAGGTAAACTGTTGTTCGTGGCTTTTTTCCTGAACTTTGGAAGAAAAATCCCATTTTAAACCTGTAATAACAGAGGCTGATTACTTCCCATCAACTCACTGGCTTCCAGGGCAGAATTTTCAGACTGGTTATTGTGTGTACTGCTCTACTATAAAGTACAAGGTCTGTAAATTAAAGTTGGACCATAAGAGATTTAATCTGCGATTTTATAGGTCTCTAATCCAACCGTCATTTTGTATTTCAGGCTCCGACTCTATTATCAGGGTTTGGGGAGGGGTTTTTTTTTTGTGCTTGGGAATTATTTATTTGTTTGTAGTGTCTTTATATTGTGAATTGCAGCCAGGAAAATATTGATGCTTTTTCTCCCTACCTCCCAAACTATAGATTAGAAACGGTAAACAAAGTTGTTACACGCTGAAGAATAAAGACTTGGAATGTGCTTCAAAAGGAGTAATTTACTTGGAGCTGGATGTCCTATTTAATCCTGTAAGTTGAAATATTTTCTCTTTGCTTATCGCTGGTGTAAGAAACGTGTGAATCTGCAGGTATGGGGTGGAGGGGTGATCCTTTAAGAGCCAGGAGCCAAGCAGGAAAAGTTTCATGCCATGAGTGAAGAAGCATTGGGACATCAGAGCTCTGCGATGGCCCCTCCAGGTGCATGGGACAATGCGGGGGCATTTTTGGACTGACAAGTGCCCACAGGCACCTTAGGAAGGAGGTGACAATCGCTGTATGCCATGACTTGCAACAGCCAAAATAGGGCTTAATGTTTAGATTATTATAGGCTACTTTTAACACCTACTTCCTCCCCAAAAACCTGACCCATGATGATCTCTTCCCAGGGTGTTGACAGGAAAATTAATGAGGCCTATACATGGTGCACTTAGTTTTTAGGTGCATAGTTTACGCCCTACAACCTTAGAGTTATAAAATAATAAATAGAGTTAAATCCTATTTATTAAGGCCATCGTGGGCTACACTGCAGCTCTGCTCTTGCTGAAGTGAGTCCAGCCTCGCCCGGTTTAACTCATCCACATTTTTCCTAGCAGCTCCTCCTAAGCTGCGTAGAAACAGAAAAAAGTGGATGATCCTAAAATTCCTAATCAACACTGGTGATACAAAGCACTTAAAACTACGTGACATCTTTTTAAATGTCTTTAATTTTTTTTTTTTTTAGGTAAAAGCAAGTATTAGAACATTCAAACCCCGAGAAAAGCGCTTCACTGAGGAGAACCGCAAGTTTTCTAAAAAGGTGAAGCTAGTCTCAGAGCTAAGCTCTCGCATTTGTTTTGGAAAGATTTGAGTTGCTGTAGCACAGTTGTAAGAACACAACCTACTTATGCATAAAATGCTGAACACATGTAAACTCCATGTATTTCTGTATATATTAAGAGGTTGGTTTGTGTTAACGCAAAATTGCTTTCTGATCTAGTCTGCATCAGTAGTTCTGCTTTGTGCTTCCGAGTGGGGAAGATGATAGCTGTGGATATGGCACCGTCCGCAGCACCTAAAGCTCAACGGGAGCCTTATTCCCTTTTTTGGGGAAGGAAGAAACCAGGTCTAAATCAGCTATTTTAAAAGTCCATAGGATTTTAGAACAATGGCCATTATCTTATTTTTAAATAAAGGTGCCCTATAATAAGGCTAAAATTCTCTATTTCTACGGACTAATACAAAACATATAGAGAAGAGGTGCAGTGTTTTGATTACATTTCCTCTGGCCCTTTTCCTGAGACATTGCTATATTTTGAGAATTGAAGAAGATGAAGGTAGGTTTGTGTTACTGTTTTATTTAGTTTTGGCATAAAGACATGCTTTTTTTCCCCCTTTTTTTCCTAAGGGAGGAGGAAAACCTGGTAGGTTTGGGTATAGTCATAAAGCAGACAGGAGCTAGAGAGTGCCTCTGGAATAGAGGCTTTATTTGTAACATGTGCCCTGGCATGCTTTTGTAGCTTAAATTATCCCTGTTTCTGAAGCAATAGTAGGATATTAGTGTGTTTGATTAAACTCCTCTTCTCCTCCCCTCCTCCCACTCCATATTTATCAGATCTTATCAAGAAATGTTGATCGTGTGAAAAAAATCACCATGGCAATATGGAATACAATACAATTCCTTCGGAGCTGCTTTCTCTGGGAGTCCACCGTAAAGAGCGTGATAGCATTTGTGGTAAGTGGATTTCTTCTATTGCATGAGGCTAAGTGACATCAGATCTTGAGTGTTTCCATGCCTTCCTCGCCTCTGGCACAAAGCCCTCTCTCGCTTGCTGTTATTGGCATCTTGTAGCTACGGGGCTGCAGGTTTCAGAGCAGCTTGGGCCATGTTGGGCCCGGTGGAAATGGAAATTAGACCTTCAGGAATAGCATTTGTGTGCTCGGCGCAGAGGTGTTCACCAGCCTGTGCTGAGGATGCCCATGTCCATGGTAGCAGGTGGGTGACAGCACCCCGTAAAGGCTGTGGTGGTGTGATTACTCTGGAATTTTTTTTTTAAATGTGGTAATTGGGTGGTAGGAGAGGAGGGAGGTGGTGGCTGAGAGGGTGATGCAGGGAGATGCCTTTGATTTGGGTGATGCTGCGAGCTGGTGGGTCTTGTCCCTTCTGTCTTGTGTTGCAATGAGCCAGCAGTTTGCTGCAGGTTACCAAAGCCTGCTATGCCCATGTCCCTGTGGCATGTCAGCAGCTCTTCTGGCATCACCTGTTGCAGATCTGTTCTCTTGGTGGTAATAATACATTGCTTAAAAAAAAAGAGAAAAGGAAAAGGAAAAGGCTGGTCAGTGAGTTCTGCTGCGCTCTGCAAAGAAAAAGCCAAGTTCTCCACCTGCGTGTCCCACTTTTCAGCTCTCTCCTTTTTCCTCTTAGTAGTAAACACCCCATTTGCAGTTTTCTCATAATCCACTCAAGCACAAAAAGGTTTTGCCTGCTTTTTATTCTGTGGTGTGACATTTTCTTCATGCTTGAGATGTTTGGCATGCTATTAAAGGTTGCAAAACCGTTTTGTGGTGGTCCAGCGTGCAGAAAGAAAGTTTGAGTTGAGTGTTTATTAAGTAAAATAACAGCCACATCTCCAAAATTTCTTCCCCTTTTACTGTCTGAATTATAAGTCACTTAAAGGTTCTTCTGAGGAAAACACTTAAATGTATTTGCTACAGATGAGTGAAGTGGACCACCCCTGATTGCAAGAAACTCCAGAGCAAAAGACAGAGGAGCTGTCTTTCACCCTGTAGGTTAGAGGGATGATTGGCGTGTAAAAATAGGTAGGATGAGAGGGTCTTTTCTCTGTGATTTTTTTAATTCTTGTTGCCTGAAGCTTATTTAGATCATATCTAGAGTTCATGGTTCAAGAGCTGGTGGAGAGCAGAGCAGCTGGTACCTCACTGAGGCAGGTTACGCTCTACGGCTGTGCACGAGGAAATCAGACGGTTGTGCACACCGGGGCTGGAAAGGGAGGGACACGCATCAAATCCCGGTGCCTACATCCTACCCTCACCATTCAGCAAGAATCTAAACATGTACTTAAGAGATTTTGCACCAAAATACTTGTGACGATTGCAATTATGAGGTTCAGTTTTCCAGATTTAGGAAACGTTTGTAAGTGGTGAAGAGGCAGAAAAATAAGAAGGGTCTGCAGAAAAAGGAATTGATTCCTAGTGAAAAGGAGGTTGAGCACAAAGGTAGAAGGTTACAAGTTACAGATTATTAAGATCTCTGGGTAAAGTGAAAGTGGGTAGTGGGAAAGGTATAAAATACGTGACTGCAAGAATAATTAGAGCAGGCCTCCTCTACAAACCAAAATTTAAATCTATCTGACTTTTTCCACGTGGAAATATTTCAGCTCTGGCACATAAAATGATGTGCTAATTTGTATCTCTCGCCATTTCCAGTGTGTGTGTTAATAGTAAAAAAACCAAACAAATAAAAAACCCCAACAAAAACCCAAAACCAAAACAAATGCACACAGCATGGTAGGTGCAGCATCCCCCCCTCTCCAATTTGTGCATAAAATCCACTCTTAACAGGTTAAATAAAAGGTACATTAAATATTGCATTATTAAAATCATCATTACCCATCAAACATCATCTATATATCTTCAGTACCTGGCTTTGAATCAGCTTAGCCTGTACCATATTTGTCCTTATGGACAACCCGCTTTTAGCTGACACTGAAGGTGGGGAAGATGCGCAAAGTTTCTCACCCAATTTCAACTGGGTTTGTGAAACCGTGGCTGGTAGTTTAAGTGCCAGCCAGACCCTCAAACCATGAAAATGCCCGTTGCTTTTCCTCACACACATTGTCTCTTGGGCCACTGGCAATAAGTGTTGTGGCCGTATTCGAAATACTCCCTATATCTTCACTGCAATAATCCCGGAGATTGGGTGGTCTTTAGGACCCCTTCCCTGTCGTATTGCCCTTGGTTTCCCTCTACAGGTAGCCCACCCCCCTCCTCCAAGGGGGAATAAAGGGAGGGAGGAGGATGAAGGCAAGCAGAAGTCTAATTCTGTGAATGTTGTTTTCTGGAGTGATCGGACAAAACCCACTGCCAGACGGAAGAAATATTTGTAAGAGATCGTCAGAGCGTGGCAGCAGGCGAAGACGCGCTATCGTACACCTTCCTGTTTCAGTCTTCGTTACAGTGCACCTCCGTCCCCGTTCGTGCTGAGGGCTCACGAGCGTGACAAGGGCATAGCTGCCACTTCTGGGGGCACGAGAGAAAAAGAGGGACGAGTAAAGAGGGAGGAAACAGAGGACAGCACAGGCAGGACACAAGTGAATGAGAAAAACGCTATCACCATGTTTTCTCATTCACGGGACATACCATCCCAAGCTAAATTTCTTTGTTCGTGATGGTGAGAGGGGTCAACCCAAGAACATGCGAGTAGATTAATTTTTTTGTGCTGTAAAAACGAAACCGTATTTTTCATCACCGTTCGGCGATTTGAATCTGATGACTTTCAACCTGAGTTCATTGTATAGGCACAGAGGATGCTGATCGGGTCTGCTCAGGCACAAGTAAAATCAGAAATTTTTCAGGTTTGGAGGCTTTGGAAAGAGAGTCGAAAGACAGATGAGGTGAAATGCAAAATTTCACTTTTGGTGACGTTTGCCCTTTGCACAAAGGGTTTGGTGTGAATCGTGCTACGGAAATTCTAGAAAAAACATCCGGGGTTGGGGGGAAGAGTCAGCAGTAGGTTTTCTGGATTCTCTATAGTGTACGTTTCATCACTGTTCTGGTGTGAAAAATGGGCGCACGTGTTTGTGCCTGCCTGGGAGTATCAGGAATATTCCCACGTGTAGAAAGTGTTGCCTGTAGAGTTAATAGTGTTCATGTACCAGGAGGGATCTTAAAAGACTCTGTGTGTTCTTGTTCATGTACCAGGAGGGATCTTAAAAGACTGTATGTGTTCCCCTCTATCAATTCAGGATTTGAGGGGATTTGTAGATTTTTTAAGACCAAAAACTCTTCAGACATTCTACTCTGTTTATTTAGTTTTGGTGTAGTTATCTCGTATCCAACCCAATATTTTGTGTTTTGACTGAAATGTGCCTCAAAAAGGGCTGCATTTTGAAGACACCCAGAGATGTAGTCTAGCTCATCCCTGTATGGTTCCGCTCGTCTT